AGGCCAAATAACAGTTAACCGACAAACACACTAGACTCGGGCTCCATTAGCGACCTTAAGCAATTTTACACATTCGTTGATTCATGAAATACCGTTTTATCATTTATTGGACTTTAAAACCGTGATAGGAAATAGGGTGAGGGGTCCTTACTCGTTTCGGGGTCCGAACACGGCTTCACAGTGCGCTTGCAGGCTGTCCCTAATTTTTCCTGAATTTTCTTCGGGGAACTGAAACGCACTACTGGTACCTGCACGTGTTCCAAAAAATCCCAAATTAGGCCCAGGGCCCCTTTCGGCCCAAATCGCAACTCCGGCACGGCGGCTCCGCCGTGCTCCGGCGACGGCGCCGCCGCCGGCGGCGGCGATTCGCCTCGGGTTGGCTGTTTTCGGCCGTTTCAGCCCGAATTCGGCCACACTTGCATCGGTCCCTGCGAGAAAACAATCCTAGGGCCCTCGGGGGGCCAAAAAATACGGAAAAACGGAGCTTACCGGCGGCGGCGCTCTCGGGTGCGGCGGCTCTCCGGCGAAGTTCGTGTTTTGGTGATTCGGCTCCGGTCAACCTATAGAGAAAAGAATGGTGATCACGGTGATATAAAAATTGCATCAAACGGAGGTCGGGAAGGGCCTCATCGGAGGCAAAAACCGAGAAGGGGCGCGGCGGCGCCGCTGGGCTTCGGCCGTGTATTCCGGCCGTTTGGCCGGGATTTTGGCTCCGATTTGGCCACAGGAGGAATCAGCGTGGAAAAACGAGTCGGGGGTACGAAATTTACCTCGATCGGCGGTCGGAAATTCCTCCGGTGCGGCGGCGGGTGGCGGCGGCCGGCTTCTGGTTCGTCTTCTCCGGCGAGCGGCAGGCGGCTAGGGTTTGTGGTCTGGTGTGGGGGTTCGATTTATAACCCTTTGCCTTTTGATCTCAGCTGTCCATTTTGTTTTAATCTGGGCCGTCCGTTTTTGATTAAATCTGGGCCGTCCGTGCGTTTAAATCTGGGCCGTCCGATCGCACGCTTGATCTGGGCCGTCCGATCGCGCCTACGCAGATTGCCAACGTGGCCCTTTTTGGAACGACGTGGTCTTGCCACGTGGCAGGTCCCGGTTGGCCGGGACTGCTGACGTGGCTGCCGACGTGGCTTTTTTTTTTTCGGCCCCTTTCCGGGCGCTACATATAAACTCTAGAATTCTTCTGAAAAGTCATTGAATAACGTGAACCTCACTATTAAAATCGCCCAAAAGTCGAAACCTTTTCTGCCTCAAATTTCATTCATTCCCATAAATTCATATCTTTGCGCTTTATCTCCTTTCTTTTTTGTATATAGATTTTCAAAAACAAATAGCATAGATAGCCTTAAAATTATATACAGTTTGGCACCACACAAAAAAAAGTAAAGGGGTGGGCTTTCTGAAGAGATAGTAAGTTGTTTTTGTTATGGGTTATGAGTGAGTTGTTTGATTGCTATTCAATTTATTATAAAGAATTAACAGATCTTGTAGGATTCCCAATAAATTTTTTGATTTCTTCCAAAAGCACATGATTATTCATCCACTTCTCACGTTGCATAAATAGTATAAGCATTTAGAAACATTTAGAAATATATTTAGAGATTTAGCATGATTCTATCTATATTCGTTCCGTTTAAAGAAATAAAGGATCTCAAATGATCGATCTTTCTTTTAGTTGTTGATTATAAGTTTTTATTTCAATTTTTACAGCCTTGTAAGCAATCATGCTCTCAATATTATCAAATTGCTATATGTAATTTTTGTTCGAATTTATTTTAAAGCTTAAAAAAAAATTTGTTAACTGAATGTTACAATTTGGATTCTCAATACTGAAATTATTTTGTGTTGCTTGCTATATGGAATTATTTATGCTAGAACAAGACAAGTAAGAATGGTTGCATATGAGCAATGGAAAATAAGACTTGTTACTTATCATTTGAAGACAAAATAAGATGTGATGTAGTTGTTTGTGAGCCGTGCGAAAAATAGGACTAGTTATTTATAATCTGAAGACAACATAAGTTGTAAAAGATTTACTTGTGAGTCGTGTATAAAACAAGTTATTTTAATTAAAAACTTTAAGTGAAATTCTCAAGTAATACTTTGAGGAAGGATATAAGCATAGGTCGAACCTCTATAAATTTTATGTACATCTTTCTTTCCTTACTCGTTACTCATTTTGAGTATAATGATAATGATCCAAAATATCTATCTAGCATGATAAGAAACTAAAGGTGACTACCGAGTTAGCCATCCGAGGTTTTCTTAAGTTTCCGATAAACATTTTTAGAAAAAAAAATTAACATATAACTAATGACAAACCATTCCATTATATTCTATTTCTTAAATTTTGTAGATTAATTAAGAAATATAAATTAATATTCAATTCCAATTTAATCATGAAAGTATAA